GGGGGGGGGGGGGGTCTATGCGCGCAGGGCACTATGGGACACAGGATGAGCAACGCGGAGCGGGACGGAAGCCTCGGAGGGTCAGACGGTAGCGACGCGGGAAGTCCGGACGCGGTAGCTGCCTGAAGAGGAGGCCTGAGGTAGAGGCTCGGGCCCTGGCAGCGGCAATGGCAGAGAGACCCGAGGACCTAAACCTGCCCAACGCCGTCATTACCAGGATCATCAAGGAGGCGGTGAGTAGCCTGGACTGGTGGTTGGGCCAGGGGCGGGCGATGGGGCAGGAGGGAAGCAGTCCTAGGCCGGCAGCTTTGCTCACCGCCGCTCTTCTTATAGCTTCCAGATGGTGTCAACATCTCCAAGGAGGCCCGAAGCGCCATCTCCCGCGCCGCCAGCGTCTTCGTGCTGTACGCCACGTCCTGGTGAGCGGGGCAGAGTCAGCCAGAGTTCAGCTGGTGCTGAGGCATAAGGGAGCGCAGAGAGACCCCCTGGCTCGTAGTTCATGGCCTGGAGCCCACAAACCCCAATAATTGTTTCCTACCTCCGTGGGGAGAGGTTCGCAGCTCTTTTTCGATTGTTACAAGTTCTGAAGCAAAATAAAACAAAATAACTTAGCCTTTTCGTACAGGGAAGGAAGGAACTTAGACATATCTACAACCCATGCATCTAAGACATAGGCTTTCTCATTCCACCTCTGGGGTCTCCTTTTCCCTCCCACTCCATAGCGGCAAGAGGGGGTCTGACGGCCCTTTCTCTTTCTCCTTTTAAGTGCCAACAACTTCGCGATGAAAGGAAAGCGTAAGACACTGAATGCCAGTGACGTGCTCTCAGCCATGGAAGAGATGGAGTTCCAGCGGTTCATTACCCCGTTAAAAGAAGCTCTGGAAGGTAACCATCCTACATTTCCTAAACCACGGGGAAGATGGTCATCCTGTACGACCTGTTCCCTGGCCCTAAGGCTGTCTCAGTGTGGGTCTCTTTAAATCTAATAAGTCAACAAATGGACGTGTCGTCTACCCAGTTCATTTGGCCCCGCCTCAGATTTGTTTTGTGATACTGGGCAGGTTATTTTTCCTTCTGTGCCTCAACTTTTCCAACTATACAATGGAGTTAGCTGCTACAGTCTGTCTGAGTCATTCTTCCAGCCCTACCTCCTAACCCCCTCCTTCCTTCTTACAGCATATAGGCGGGAACAGAAAGGCAAGAAGGAAGCTTCAGAGCAAAAAAAGAAGGACAAAGACAGAAAAACAGATTCGGAAGAGCAAGACAAGAGCAGGGATGAGGATAATGACGAAGACGAGGAAAGGCTGGAAGACGAAGAACAGAATGAAGAGGAGGAAGTGGACAACTGAATATGGTGGGGAGACTGGCACCTTAGAAGGTACCACACTGAAACGTGGTACATGTTTATGTGAAGCTCTTTCCTGCTGGGCCGAGTAGTCTTAGGCAGAAGTGCCTGAGAGGATCAAAATAAAAACTGACTAGAATTATCACCAAAACCAGCGCTTCCCAGACTCAGAGCATCTGAGTAGCAGAATCCTGTTTTGCTTAATCAGTCTGAAGGTTATGACTGTTTGGAACGAGGGATTCAGAATGGCTAATTAGATTAGTCAATGTGATCTCTTCTGTTTACTTATATGTATGGTTTTTGATCCCCATTTCCCCTGCCCCCAAAAAGTAATAATAACTTTCGTGCTGCCTGCTGTGTTCCAGATCACAGAGGCAGTCAAGGCTCAGGAAAAATGGGGGCTTTGATCATGGTCAATCTATGTTTGATTGTACAGTATTTGGCAATAGTAGCTTATGGAGAGTGGTCAGAATGGTTTAGTTTCAGGAAACTACTAAAAAGCTGTGGGAGAATAATGAAATCTGTTGTGTGTTGTCTCTTCAATTAATGACAGTAGCCATAATTGAATTTTGTTTTCTATAGACCCCCTTAGTTTGGAGCCCTTCTGTATTGTCCATAGACATTCAACCTGCTGACGTGGCTGCACTGTGGGTACATATGCTCTTAAATCAGCAGTAGATTGGAATTAGTCAAGCAAGGGTGCCAGTGTCTTACTTTTACAAAACAAATGGCTCAGTCTTAGATGTACCTTTCTGCCTGCCACTGTACATCTCTAGGATTTATTGTCACCTCCTGGAAGGTGTAAAATCCCAGGCTTTCTCTACTTGTAATCCATCTCTCAAACTTGTGACTATGGTTTTTTTCATTCTTCAATTCATGATGTGTTCCAAACTTTATTTCCTCTAGGAACAACTTTCTCTTCCCTCTTTGCTTCTCCCTTCTTGTCTCTCTTCTGCTTCACCTCTGCTTCCCATTCCCACTTTTTTTCTCCCTTCTTTTCTCACTTCTTCTGCCAATCAAGGAACTTTGATGACCTGCTTAATATCCCAAAGCATGGGTTCTTCAATTCCTTAGTTCTGATCTCATCTCTTTTAAAAATGATTTTGTGAAACCCCCCTGAACCTTAAGGGAAATCTGATGGTGCTCAGGAATATAATTCCCTCCAAAACCATCCCATTAACTGCTTCTAAAGTATCTCTGTTGGCCTTCTTAGCCTTTTTCTCTTTCCATTCAGTGCTCCAAGCACTTTTTTGCCTCTAAGTTGAGTGCTTGGGGTTTGACAGGTAGTGAAGTGATATCCCAAAGCATGGGTTCTTCAATTCTTTAGTTCTGATCTCATCTCTTTTAAAAATGATTTTGTGAAACCCCCCTGAACCTTAAGGGAAATCTGATGGTGCTCAGGAATATAATTCCCTCCAAAACCATCCCATTAACTGCTTCTAAAGTATCTCTGTTGGCTTTCTTAGCCTTTTTCTCTTTCCATTCAGTGCTCCAAGCACTTTTTTGCCTCTAAGTTGAGTGCTTGGGGTTTGACAGGTAGTGAAGTATAGTTTGACACTGTTAACTTGTTAAATGAGTACAGTGAAAAGTTTGTTGATAAATGACTGAAGAATGTTGAGAGGATTATAATGGTTTGTACAAATAAAGAACATTCTTGTTAAAAGTGACGACTCCTGTTCCATCCTGCTTGTCTATAGTGTGCTTTAGAGGGGATCCACTAACCATGCCAGATACAGTATTTGGGGTGTGGACTGGGCCAGACCTTTGTAAACATGGAATTTTGCATCACCTTGGGTGACCAGCAGGGGCTGCTCTTCAACTACAGCATGAGATTTTGATGGCTCTGCTGGGCACCCTACACATTAATAGATTCTCAGTAACTCCATTTCTTGAGCCCCTACTGTGTCTGGCACTGACCCGATGAAGCAACA